GGAAAGAGATTCAGTCGAAGTGGCTATCTTCAGGGGCATCAGAGAATCCACACAGGGGAGTCACCTTTGGAATGCTCAGAGTGTGGAAAGAGATTCACTCAGAGTGCCGATCTTCAACGGCATCAGAGAACCCACACAGGGGAGAAACCTTTTGAATGCTCAGAGTGCGGAAAGAGATTCAGTCACAGTGGCCATCTTGAAGGGCATCGAAGAACCCACACAGGGGAGAAACCTTTTGAATGCTCAGAGTGCGGAAAGAGATTCAGTCACAGTGGCCATCTTGAAGGGCATCGAAGAACCCACACAGGGGAAAAACCATTTGAATGCTCAGAGTGCGGAAAGAGATTCAGTTACAGTGGCCATCTTCAAGGGCATCGAAGAACCCACACAGGGGAGAAACCTTTTGAATGCTCAGAATGTGGAAAGCGATTCAGTCAGAGTAGCGGTCTTCAGCTGCATCAGAGAACCCACACAGGGGAGAGACCTTTTGAATGCTCAGAGTGTGGAAAGAGATTCAGTCAGAGTTCCCATCTTCATCGGCATCAGAGGACCCACAGAGGGGAAAACCCTTTGGAGTTCTCAGTGTCCCGGTCCAGCACTGCCAGACCTAGACTTGGGAGCCACCCCAAGAGAGACTGCCATGGCATGGATATGCAATCCCAGTGAATGAGGAACCCCCCCCAGCACCGAGGTCACTGACAAGGCATTGGCCATCAGCCTCCCTTACCACCGTGGCAGCTGTTGTTCTGGAGGGCCCAATGGTGCCAGGTGGAGCAGGCAATTGCAGAAGTCCCAGAAGAACCAAGGATAAACCGCAGTGGACAGAGGCCGCACCAGGGGGCATCAGGTGGGGGAAGAGCAGCAGGAAGTGGCCAGAGTCCCAGAAGCTGCAAAAAGTGGCACAGAAAGCCAGCGTATAGATGGGAACCCAGGAGATCCCAGGCCTGGCAATAGGGTATGCGCCCTCTCCTCGGAGAGGCACTTCACAGGCTATTTGCCAGCCTGGTCTTACAGGGTCTGGTGGAAAAAGCGGAAGCACAGTGGTGAACAACTTCACTCTGCTGGGTCCCAGGGGTAGATGGGTCCAGGCGGGCAGGCCCATGCTGAGAGCTGGTAGAGTGATTTTGTTATTGGGGTAACCTGCAATGCTCCCTCTAAGCTGCAAAGTCTTGTGTGCAAAAATTCAACTTTGTGAGCTCCTGGCATTAACGTTGTGAGTGAGCAGTTTGGATACTGCATGATTTAGTTTGCTCTGGAGCCATCCTTCCTGGGCTAATACACAAAATGTGTGAGCCGGAGGCTAAAAAACAGTGAGCTCGCTCACACTAAGTCAGCTTAGAGGGAACACTGGCACCCTGAAAGTCATAAGTCCAAGCTCCCTTCACTTTAACAGCACCCAAAAATCGCATTCTTTGGGCACTACCTGGTCTGAAAACACAGCCAAAGTGGCTCTGGTGACATAAAACGGATGCCAGCAAGTCTGGGATGGGATTCTGAAGGTGAGCCATTACGGATTTGTCTGCTAATTACCCCGTCCCCACCTTGAAACCGTATGCAATGGCAGGAACAGGTCTTCCGGAAAGACATCGTTTTAACTTAAACGACGGATTTCCCTACCTGGCTTGACCTTTCCTGTTTGCCATAATGATGATCAAGGGTCATTTTGTAGAAAAATAGATGCAGGAGTTCATTAGCATAACTTATTTGCATATGCCACGCCCCCTGACATCACCGGAAATGTGTCAGAAGGCAGCACCCACCACTCAGGCTCCACTGAGCTGTTTTGGATTGCTAGCTATTGGGGGGGGGGGAATGTGCAGATCTGTCCTCACAGAGGATGGAGAGCTTGTACCTCAATAAAACTTGGTCTTAAAGGTGCCACTGGACTGTTTTGGGCCAGGGGGGCTCTACAATTTACCTGGTTGCTTCTTGCTCTTACAGGGTGGCTGGGAGCAGGGGGTGGGGCTTCTTGCATGTGCCCACCACCTGGGCTCTTGACTGCCGGAGGTCCAGCTCTGCAACTTACCTGGCTGCTTCTTGCTCTGACTGAGGGCTGCTGGGAGCAGCGGGTGGGGCTTCTTGCATGTGTCCACCCCCTGAGCTCTTGACTGCCGGAGGTCCGCTCCTGTGCGCTCCTGCAGGAAATGACCCCTGATAATGATACTGCTTCACACCTTTCAGCCGTCCCCAGTAGCTTCCCCTTCCAACAATAGAGGGTCATCAAGCAGCCGTTAGCTACATTCATGCACAACATCTCATGTTTCACCCAGGCTTTGTTCATTCCTGGGACTGCCATTCAGCGTTTTCCAACAGAATTGTTTTACTTCCAGTTGATCTCATCTTGTTCTGGAGGCAATCGCAGCACCATGCCCACTGGGAGCATTTTGCCGTCTAACTGGACAGATGAGGCCCCATTGCTGTGTGTGTCTTGGGTTCCTACATGCAGCACACCCACGAATTCGCTTATGTCCTTTCCCATTTTCGCAGCTTCTTCTCCATGGACTTTTGATCTTCTGGAATGGTAACTATAATTCCCGAAACACCCTCCTTTTATTCTTGCCGCTTCTGTGTTTTAGTAGCCTTGTGTGTTTCCTTTACAGTGTGCATTTATTTCTGTATGAGTGTACTGTTCTATTAGTATTTTGCCTTTCAATAAAACACTTCCTTGTTAAGCTACAGCCTGATTTATTTCTGAGAATTTCTCTAAGGCAAAAATCCTGGTATACAATCGGTGGGTGAACAAACATGTGGACAAGGGGGATCCAATAGATATTATTTACCTTGACTTCCAGAAAGCTTTTGATAAAGTTCCTCATCAAAGGCTCCTAAGTAAGCTCAAAAATCATGGGATAGAAGGACAAGTCCTTTTATGGATCAAAAACTGGCTAGTTCATAGAAAACAGAGAGTGAGTGTAGGTGGGCAATTTTCTCAGTGGAGGGTGGTAAGCAGTGGGGTACCGCAGGGATCAGTACTTGGTCCACTGCTTTTTAACTTGTTCATTAATGATTTGGAGATGGGAGTAAGCAGTGAAGTGGCTAAATTTGCGGATGATACAAAGTTGTTCAGGGTGGTGAAAACCAGTGAGGATTGTGAGGCACTCCAAGGGGATCTGTCAAGGATGGGCGAGTGGGCGTCAACATGGCAAATGGGGTTCAATGTGGCCAAGTGCAAGGTGATGCACATTGGAGCCAAAAATCCTAAATATAAATACACATTGATGGGGTCTGAACTGGCAGAGACTGAGCAAGAGAGAGATCTTGGAGTTGTAGTGGATAACTCACTGAAAATGTCGAGACAGTGTGTGACTGCAATAAAGAAGGCCAATGCTATGCTGGGGATTATTAGGAAGGGTATTGAAAACAGATCAGCCAATATAATAATGCCCCTATATAAATCAATGGTGAGACCTCATTTGGAATACTGTGTGCAGTTCTGGGCACCACACCTTAAAAAGGATATTATAGCTTTGGAAAAAGTGCAGAAAAGGGCAACTCGAATGATAAAAGGGTTGGAACACTTTCCCTATGAGGAAAGGTTAAAGCGCTTAGGGCTCTTTAGCTTGGAGAAAAGACGACTGAGGGGTGACATGATCGAGGTTTATAAGATTATGCATGGGAAAGAGCAGGTAGAGAAAGAGGTACTTTTCTCCCTTTCTCACAATACAAGAACTCGTGGGCACTCCATGAAATTGCTGAGCGGTCGGGTTAGAACGGATAAAAGGAAGTACTTCTTCACCCAAAGAGTGATTAACACATGGAATTCACTGCCACAGGAAGTGGTGGCGGCTACAAGCATGGACGGCTTCAAAAGGGAATTAGATAAGCATATGGAGCAGAGGTCCATCAGTGGATATTAGCCACAAGGTATAGATAGGGGCTCTGGGGCAAGGGATGCTCTGTCTTCTTGGTGATTGGGGGGGGGACAACAGTGGGAGGGCTTCTAATGTCCTGGCCCCACTGCTGGACCTCCTGATGGCACTGGTATTTCTGGCCACTGTGTGACACAGAGTGTTGGACTGGATGGGCCTTTGGCCTGATCCAACATTGGCGTCTCTTATGTTCTTAACCCCCTCCCCCGCAAATCGGGAGACCTCCCCTTAGGTGGACAGATAAATCATGGAAACATGGGCAGCACTCTGTGTCTCTGAGCAACATGGATTTGTGTAATATGCCTTGAATCCAAGGGAGAATGGCGGACTGTAAATGACATAAATAAATAATGTCCGGCTGAGGCTCCTCATCTCCACAAACCCTGCCCTCTCCACGGCTCCACCTCCACATCTTCAGGCTGGAATAAAGTCGAGAGCCAGGCAAGCCTGAAGAGGTAGCTGCCTAACCTCACACTGTTCTTGGGCCCAGTTTCCTTTGTCAGGTTCTCTAGTTTTTCCTGGAGGTGAATGATGGGCTTTTCTGGCACCCGGGTGGTGCTTGCCCAGGGAATAAAACGACACAAGCGACAGTTTAACAATTTATGGCATCTTGTGCAGCGTCTCTGGGTTGCGGGGCCACTTTCCTTCCCTGACCAACTTCACAGCTCGTTGCATGCCAGGTGTGAGAGGTTGCATTTCTCATTCCCCCCCCCCAGGCCCGTGGATGTGTTTTAAGATCTCCATGTGATTGGCTGCATTCCTGTAAATAAGAACTCTCTCAGTCATGTTTTCCCTGAGACAGCAGTCCTGTAGTGCCGGAGATGAAGTCTCCGAGGGATCCGTGGATTGTCCCTGCAGATTCTGCATATACAAGGGTGCAAAGACCAGTAAGAACAAAAGAGAAGCCAATGTTGGATTAGGCCAATGGCCCATCCAGCCCAACGCAGTGGCCAAAAACACCAGGGGCCATCAGGAGGTCCAGCAGTGGGGCCAGGACACCAGAAGCCCCCTCCACTGTTGCCCCCCCCAAGTGCCAAGAATAGAGAGCATCCCTTGCTCCAGACCAAAAGCTCCTACCTATCCCTTGTGGCTAATAGCCACTGATGGACCTCTGCTCCATCTGTTTATCTAATTCCCCCTGGAAGCCGTCCATGCTTGTAGCCACCGCCACCTCCTGTGGCAGTGAATTCCATGTGTTAATCACTCTTCGGTGTAATTCGAGGGTGGTCCTTTCATGATTACCGAGCCACATGGCCAGAATGCTCCAGGTTGTCACCTGATTCATAAACTACAGTGGTGGCACTGCAACTATAGAACAGATTAATGCGAAACTGGAGGCAAAAAGCATTTATAGCAGTAAAAGCTGGACTCTTGTGAGTTGGGCCAAAGGGTGGTTTTGTTCCTGGGGAAACCCGTGCCCTCCAAGGAACCCATTTCAAGGCTGATGGAGCCCACTGACTCATTCACACGTTGATCTAAGGAGTAATGCTTGGTACTATGGACTGGGGCTCCTGGGGGATTCTGCCAGAGAGAGCCATTCCCTGGGGGAGAGAGCGGAGGTGTTCCTGACTCCGAAATCTCTTGGACTACGGACACAGACCCAGCGGTGACTTAGCAATTCCTTCTGCCAGGGACAGGAAGGGGTTCTTGACTCTCCTCAATCCTTGCCCCCCCTGTTGTGAGGAGAAAACAGGTTCGAAACCACCAGCAAACCATGACTCAAGGATTGAATCTACGGATTGTCTCTGGGGACAACAAACGGGGACAGAAGAGCAGGACAAAGCAGCATACAGCAGCCTGCAAGACGTCAGGGGGCAATGCCAAAGGCCACTAAACCTACAAGGGCCACAAAATGTTCTTGAGCCACCCCCCAAAAAAGTAACCAACACATTATGCATGACCACAGGTCCATCCGAGGCATTCCCGGACTCAGAGTGTGAGCTAGCTTCATGCAGTGAGGAAGAGAGTGTCCAGATCGCCTTGGTAAGTAAGTCAGACAAAGACTCAAGAAAACAAAAATTCCAAGGCTGACTAATAAAGCTGTTGCTGCTGCTGCAAAAAAGTCCATCTTAAGAGTGCATTTTTGCCTGTCTGGGCAGATGAGTTTCAATAGGAGTCAATCTCACTTCTATGCCAGACCTTGGTTTGGCACTTCCAGTTTTGGCATCCTTTTCTGGACCGTCAGGGGGCCTATTGCTGCCCCCTCGGTGTCTGTCTGCTTCTGGCTCTCCCTTCACCACAGTCAGGAGATCTGTGTAGGACTGGGAGAC